TTCACGATAGATTAAACTTCACAATAGAAAGAGAGGATAACCGTAGCATAAGTTTTTTAGATATCTCACTCAAATTATAAATAACATAATATACATAGATTGGTTTCAGAAAAAACATTTTCGTAGTAGAACACTCTCATATCATTCAAATCATCCTATATGCCACAAAAAAAGTGTAATATATAATTTAGTAGACCGGTCAATATTATTATCACATCCCCGTTTTCATAGTAAAAATTTAACATTAATCATAGAGATTTTATTGAGCAATAGTTATCCTCTTGATCTCATTTTCTCAGAAATCAACAATAGACTGAAGTTCCTTATTGTTAATAGATTAAACAAAGAAATGACTCAAGATATAAATAACGAAATCATAAATAATGACAATAATAAAAATTCATAGCGATACCTTATATTGAAAGAATCTCGGAACTAGTAGCATCAGAATTAAAGAAATCAAAATATAACAGTAGGATACAGATGTCTAAAGAAATTAAAAGAGTCATAAAAAACGCAAAAAGACAGAGATAAGCTCCAAAAATAATTCGGGTCATATATAAGATTTCGTGTAAATTGTGATGATACATATGTAGGACAGACGAAAAGACAATTAGGTACAAGAGTAAATAAACATAAAATAATTATATTAGATTCAGCAAGGCACTCGGTGGTTTCTGATCATATTGTAAAATTTACACACAATTTCAATTGGAACGACACAAAAATCCTAGATTATGAAAAGAATTATTATAAAAGGTTGATATCAGAAATGATATATATTAAAGAAGAAACAACAGTATCAACCTAAAAAAGGACACCGAGCGTCTTGACGGTTCTTATTATGATATTCTAAAAAAATTGTCTACGTCATTTAAAATTGGGTATATATACAGCGCGCCGACATTGTAAGATACAGATATCGATTTGTTTTAAAAAGTACACATTGTGATTATGTTAAGTAAAAAGAAATAATTTTTAAAAAAAGTGTTATGTTCGTTGACAAAAAAGTAAGTTAATACTATTTATTAAAAATCTAAATGTAATATTTGAGCGGATATATTAATTTGTTCACAGTGTCGTTACATAATATAACAGCATCTGACGCTCTAACTCATGCCAACAAACATGAATTTTGTACTGCGTTCGTCATATAATCTTATAATTGTTGTATTTATTTATGATGTCGAAAATGACTAAATTAATTTTTTAACATATTATTAGGATATTGAGAAAGACTGTCGTACAGTCGAAACGTTTATCTTAACTTTTGTATAGTATGACGTAAATAATAAATAAATTTTCAATTAATAGCATATAAGCTCGTTAAGTTGGCCTTTTATTATATCACATATTTTAAAAACTACATTATTATCAAGTATTTATGATAAAATAGCAATTATGATATTTACCAATAGTAAGGAAGCTCACCTAGCATTTCAGCATCAATTACAAAAGATTCACAGCCTTTTTCTTGCGAGGCGAGGCAGTCATACCGTTGTATATATTTTCATCGATAAATGCTATTCTTGTATCATCATCTATAATATAAAAATAAGAAGCAAACTATATTAATATATGTTTATTGCAAAAATAGCATTCATGAAATTTGATAATATTAAAGAAACTCACCTAATGATATTGAGCATCATCATTTTTAAGAGAGTCACAGTTTTCTCTTGTGTAGCAGTCTCTTCAAAGCATGTATTTTTATCGACAGAGCCTTTCTTTGTATTAATATCTAATATGAAAGTGAAAATCAAAACTACATTATTATCAAGTATTATAATAAAATAGCAATTATAATATTTACCAATATTAAGGAAGCTCACCTAGCATTTCAGCATCATTTACAAAAGATTCACAGACTTTTTCTTGCAGCAGTCTCAGGCAGTCTCATTGTTGTATATATTTTTATCGATAGATCCTATTCTTGTATCATTATCTATAAATAAAAGTAAGAAGCAAAACTACATTAATAAATGTTTATGTAAAATATCTGTCATAAAATTTGTTAATATAAAGAAACTCACTTAATAGTACTTGAGCATCATCATTTTTAAGAGATTCACAGTTTTCTCTTTGTGTAGCAGTCTCTTCAAAGCATGTATTTTTATCGACAGAGCCTTTCTTTGTATTAATATCTAATATGAAAGTAAAAAGCAAAACTACATTATTATCAAGTATTTATAATAAAATATCAATTATAGATATTTACCAATATTAAGGAAGCTTACCTACATTTCAGCATCATTTAAAAAGATTACAGCCTTTTTCTTGCATCAGTCACATGCCTGTAAATATTGTATCGTACGATCTTATTCTTGTTCTTTCATAAATAAAACAAGAAGCAAAACTACACTGATATATTGGTTATAAAGCTGTTTATAACGCAGTAATGCTCGTAAGAGTAAGCAGTACATCTGACGTTTGCGCTTTATTACTCCCGACGAAATGGGCAATCCAATTTCATCTGTTTCTTCTTCTGCTTCTTCTGCTATTGTATGACTCACGCTTAAAATGCATCATCCAATTTACTAATATCTAAGGATACACTCACGTCGTAAGTGTACTTCGAGCATCGCTCATCTGTCCAGAATTTGATGACTTTTTCTGTTTTCAAACGTTAATTCTTTTGCATATAATATACGGTTTTCCTTCAATTAATATTTTCACTAGTTTTAATACTGACTTCCTTATCTGTCAAGTTAAAATAAAATTAATTGAGTTTTAGTTCAAATATTTCTGTCTCTCTTTCTCCTTTCTCTTCTCTCTCTCTATCTCAGAAAGAAAGATGATCGGTCATAAAAGAGCAGCCGCTGCAGCAGTTGATTATTGTTTTGTTTACACCTCGTGAAAATATGTCTTGACACATTTACTACAATCCTCTCTTTCACGCGTGATAAAACTTATCTCATAAACACTGCTATACTCTTCGCATATTTACACCTATTTATCACAGAAAAGATAAATAGGCTGCCGACAAGAAATCTGGCGATGATGATGATGATGACGGTTCTCTCCTATCTGACTCCTTTCTTGGTCCGAATCATAATTGTGTTGTGTTTTGCATACCGATGGTGAAGGCATATCCATGTCGGCAAAATAAAGGTTGTCCACAGTAAAATATTCTGCGCATTTTTGTAGCGACGCTGATAGCATGCGACTCGCTTGTGTCGTTTAGACCTCTGGTGCATTTGGATAACCCACCAGTCACTCTTAAAATGTCTTCGTGAATTTCTAGGAAATCGGCAACATCTCTTGTATGCGGTTTTTGCACACCAAGTTCGCGATTTCACACGAATTGCACAACCGAAGTCACCGCATCACGTTTAAAATGAAACGGGTCATCTTTCTTATCATCATAATAGCATTCATCGAGATGTCTTATCATCTCTCAACATTCTCAAAACACCTCGAATGTCTTTTTTACCGCGTTCTCATTTTTGTAAAAATACTTTTGTACAGAAAAAACTATTTTTCACACTAAACTTTTTTCTCACAGCTATTTTTCCTTGAGGAAAGCGGCGCTCGCCAGTGGTAAATATATATCATCGGTCCTCATTATATATCCCAATCAACCCTTTGTTCGTCAACGTAGAGAGAAAAATTTAGATGTAAAATTTCGGCGCTTGTTTTGTTTATAAATTCCTGCAGCCGCTGGTTATCGGGCTGGTATTTCTTAGAAATATACGTATAGATCATATCAACCCCCTTGATTGTCGGCGTATGCCAAGCGGTGGCCCTTCTTAAAATTTGATTGATCTTAGATTTTCAGAGAACTGATTGTCGGCGCTCGGATCCAAGCGTCCTTCTTAGAATTTAATTATATTTCTTAGAAATATACAGATAACGTATGGGGGAAAAACGCAACCCCCTTGATTGTCGGCGCATGCCAAGCGGTGGCCCTTCTTAGAATTTGATTATATTTCTTAGAAATATACAGATAACGTATGAGGAGAAGAACCAACCCCCCCCCCCGGATTGTTTGCAGCCCTTTTGTAATATATATTGTTTATCTTTGTTTATAAACATAAACGTATGAAGAGAAGAAACGCAACCCCCCCCCCGATTGTCGGCAGCCCTTGTAATAGATATTGTTTATCTTTTGTTTATAAACATAGATAAGTTTATCTGCTGATAAGACCCCCGCCCGCGTGACGTCATACCCCCTTGCCCCCGAAAACCCCCCCCCGCCCCGCACCCCCCTCAGAGGACCCGGGTTAGAACCCCCATACTATTCCTACTGACCTAGCGACGGTTGAACAGGTGTTCGTGCGACACGAGGGACCGAAAAAGATTTTGCAGGCGCCGTACGAGGGGCCGTACGCAGTCATCAAGAGACGACAAAGCGTTGTCGTGCGTATGCACGGCAAAGAGAAAACGGTCTCAATAGACCGTCTTAAACCGGCTTATATTTTATAGAGCGAGCCAGAAATACACCCGGCAGAGTCGACGGCACGAGACCGGGACACCGAGGTCGAGCAGCGAAGCGCGCGAGAGGACGTGAGGCTGCTGCCCCGAGAGAGCGAGAGAACGACGAGAGCGGGAAGAAAGGTCCGATTCCCGAGTCGATTCCAGGCGGGCCTGTAGCACCGGGGAGCCTGTGCAGCAAACAGTGGAAATCACCGCAATCATCACGAAAATAATAAAAAAAATAAGTATACGGGTCGCGATTCTTTAATTTTTTTTTTTTTTACAAGTATTCGCTATTTCAAATTTCTTTGATTTGTGTTATCGTCGAAAATTTATGTATACACGGCAACAGCGACATAAGCCGCGAAACGCGAAAAGAAAAATTTGACGCGTATCGAGAACTTGTATATTCTGCGTTTTATATTTATTCTTTTAATTTAAATGGACGAGTCTCAGACCGAGAGCGACGGGCGACAGAATAACGTTTTATATTTATTCTTTTAATTTAAATGGACGAGTCTCAGACCGAGAGCGACGGGCGACAGAATAACGTTAAGTACAGCGAAAATTCTTCACGTATAGGTTGTCGGTATTTATTAGCATTTATTTATTACATTATTGTTATTTATTATTATTTATTTATTATTTATTTTTTGTTACGTCATATTTATTCTCGACTTGGCGCTCGAATTTATAACGGCGAGCAAATGGTAACATTCGTCTCGGTCTGCCATCGAAAAACTTTTGCGAAAACAGTGCATCACGCAAACGTATCGTATTTATAGCACTGGCGGGGGAGTACTGTGGCGATTATATCGTCACATGCTTCCCCAAAAATCGAAAGCGAAAACACGTATATAAATACGGACATATACACATACGAACACTCACAAATAAACATAAATAAAATATAACAGACGAGACGAAAGACGAAAAACATCGAGACGTAACAGAAAGGAAATAAACGAATAGAACATTTTCGAAGCCTATCAAAGTGAATTTTTTTAAGACGAACGAAGAGCGATAGGAAGAGCGTTTTACATGCTAGGAGATTCCGCTACCGACAGTCGCCGCGTACAGTTGCACGTTATAGATCCGCACGATTTTTATATATTTCTGTACCGAGATGGAAAGATTGTTCTCAGAATATATTTGGTGTTAACTGTAAATACTCTCTCACAATTATTTTAATTCCCGTCTCGTATCGAAGCGTCTAAGTAATTCGACGCGCGTGTAACCAAAATATTATTCATCGAATATGCAAGCAATCAAGATATATAGAGGAGAAGGTACGAATAAAGCATGTCAAGTTTTTGAGATATAATAATTTAAAAATGCGAAAAAGGGCATTTTTTACATTTTTTAGTAAGATATTGTATAACTTTTAATTGGGATGTGATACAAATTTCTTCGACGGCTTAAAATAAAGCTTGAGACTGTAGTTTATGTAACAAATATGAAAAAGTTCGAATCTATAGAGTTTATAAAAAAATTAACCATACCTCAAAAGATTCTTTATATTGGTATAAGAAAAAGTAGAAAAATAATATTTTCATGTTATGATTTACTTTTTTTATAAATTCTTTAGATTCGATTTTTTTCATACTTGTTACATGAACTACAAATAGTAACTACCAATATATTAGCACGGGCTACATGTGTACCTTCTTTATATAACTTAATTGCTTGCATATTTGATGAATGACATAGCTATTCGAAAGAAGAATTTTTTTATTTACTTTTGACGGTTTCCCCAGCGTCAAAAAAAAAAAAAAAAAAGGTGGACCATTTTAATCAATCCTTTATTCTTTATCATTGCGTGGATTGATTAAATGGTCCACCCTGTATATCTTGATTGCTTGTATATTCTATGAATGATATAGCTATTATATTTTTATTTATTTTTGGAGTGGCGTCATAATAATCGTTTTATGGAAAATATGGTGTCGTCAAAATAGCCAGAGTATAAATGGACTATACATAATTTTGTACTGTCGCTGTACTAACCGATCTATACTTAATTGCTTATACATTTGTACCAGTGCATTTTATCATAAAATTATAAGTAATGTATACGTCAGGGAGTCAATATATACTCTCGTCAATATATATATATCGTCTCTTCTTATGTATACCATAAAATGTTTGATTTTTTGATGCCAAAATAGCCTATTGACATATATATATATATTGTTACGTCCTCCGGACGTTCTTTCTCGCAAAAGACGTCTCTCGCACACACTCTCACTCACTCGCGGCTCGCGAAATAAATACACTCTCTTATGAAGAAATGATCCTTTATACAATGATGAAATACAATGACTAATGTACACGCGAAAGAAAGAAGATTGCTCTCTGGTCAAGTCACGTCCGTACGAGATGACAGCTAGACCAAACCTGTCATGGAGCCTGAAAACAACCACAGTGTTACGTCCCTGATCTTTCATCCTC